ATTACTTAATAACACTCTATTTCGGTACTCTAAGTATTAATGATTACATCGGGTTATCAAAAACAACGACATAGACAAACCTGAAGAGATCTTCGATGGATGAATAAAGAATAAATAAACGATGGATTATTATTTTGTTCATTTGGTTAAACATATACACTTGTGTGATGCAATATCTAAACACGATAAATTAATAAGTTGTCCAACATTTTTCACTATAGCAATTTTTCAAGTTCAAATAGCTTTGTAAAATGCTACTGCTACTAAATAGAAATATTAATTACGTGCGTACGTATAGAAATATATACATATACTTATGTATAGTACGTAAGTATATATTACGTAATGTATATAACGTCGGTTTGTTTGAAAAAACAAATATACGCGATTTAAATCCGGAAAAATAGTTTCATTTCCTATCTGTAACAATCGCGAAAACCTAAGAACTCGATAGAAATATATATTGTATATAGTGAAAACTGTGTAATTAGAAAAAAAAACACGTTACACACACAATTTTAAAAAACTATTTGATGGAAGGTGGAATGTGGATTCCCGACCGAAGTGCAGCAGTCACATGGTATTTCTTCATTGTTTCGTATTTACTTTTATTTTATTTTTGTTTTTTTACACAGTTCTGCACACTTGCGCGCGCAATTTAATATTTTTCGTATATATTTAACATGACGTTTGACTTCTGTTGTCTCAGATCACCTGTAGAATTTTCAAATTTTTCGCTAATCCAACGGTATGCATTGTGGGCGCTTGATGAGGAGGTTCCGGGTTCGATTCCCGGTAGGCAATCTGGGAAATGAACTTTCTAATTTGAATATATTATTGTTGTTGTGGGTAGTGATCCGGAGGGAATTCGGTTACTCTAATATTCATAATACTGGGAATTGTCTATTTTGAGAACAGATAATTAGAGTGATTGTCTTTCAGATAATATTGGTATTAAAATGTGAAACACACAAAAAGCGGGTGCGGGTCGAGTCGGGCGCCTGTCGATTCGAGTCGGGCGCCAGTCGAGTCGAGTCGGGCGCCTGTCGGGTCGGGCGCAGTTCGGTTCGGGACCGCGGCGGGTCTAATTACATAATTATACGCACAACAAGACACCGAGTCGGGCAAGTGCGCTCGTCCCGCACCCGCTCTGTGTTTCACGCTTTATTATATTTTTTATACTAATTTCAAATGTCATGCATATCTGTTCAGAAACAACCGAATAATTCCGTTCATAGATTGTGCAATTAGAGCGGAGGCCAAGATGACTTCACTCGCTAACGCTTCGAAATCTTTTGCAAAAGACGAAAACCACGTTATATCTTTACCACGAATAACTTTGATGACAAAAAGGGCATTCTGATAGCTCAATTCAAAATGTGAAATTCTACTTTCTTGTATACTGTGTGATGTATGTAATTCATTTTCGTCACAATTGTAACATCCATTAGTGGTTGAAAAGGGACATTTTTGTTACGTCAATAAAGCCCTACAGCGTCAAGAATGACCATTCTAAATAAAACGTACCAGTACATTTTCCACCTAAATGGTTTGAGTTTAAATTCAATTTTCGCTAAATCACTCTGTAATTATTGTCTTTTTGTTACCAATATGTCGCCGCACATTTTCGTCATTAGAAAGTTTCACTGTAATAACACTTCTGACGTGACAGCAATTGCTATTTTGGTGCCGTAATGTGATGAAAATTGAGTCTTGAATTAGCTTACTCGTAACCCGTGATGATTTGTGAAATTACATAATATAATTGATGACTAACGTTGAACGGAGTACCAATTTTCTAATAGGAACAATGTTATGTTTTGTGGATGCTACAAATTTCCACACGATATTTCTATACATTCTTGCGTGTTACACAGGGGTCAAAATGTTCTATTTCTTAAAAATCTTAACTGTTCTGCGAAGTACAGTAACTATGTAGTTTGTTAGTAGTCGTAAAAGGTGCCTATAACAGCCCATCAGGTTGTTTAAGGCAGTTGAACTACGGAATAACATTTCGGTTTGATAGATAATTTACTTAAAATAATATGAAAATTTGATGTAATTGTAATTAATAATGCAACAGTGAAAGTTTATTCTCCGATATAGTAGTAGATCGAAATATTTGCATTAGCAAAATGTTTTGCGCAGAATGTCTTGCATTTGCCAGCGGTAATTTTCGCATTTGCCAACGCAAAACGTTTTATATTTGCTAGAGGGACAGTTTTGCATTTGCCAGCGCAAATACCTTGCATTTGTCAGCGGAAAAACTTACATTTGCAGAGTACTAAGACATAAGTTAACAAGTCCCACGTGCCTGTAATTTCACCAGCACCCTTACCCTTCAAAACCGGAACACAGTAATGCTGGCATTACTGCTTGACGGCAAAAATAGGTAAGGTGGTGGCAGTACTACCCTGGATGAACTCTTTCACAACGAAATTTACTCTACTGCAACTATAATGTCATGGCGGTGATAATAACAAATCTTCAGGTTAGAGGTTTTTTTTATTACAAATTTATAATTATTAATCACGTAAAAAATGGCAACACCTTTTTTATTAAAAAAAAACGATTTCAAAATTTGTGTATTTGACAAGTTTTATCAAGTTTCATTGGAATCGGTTACCGGAAAGTGCCCGAAACCGGAATCATCCCCTAGTTTGCCACTCTTAGAGGTGGAATATATTCTTCAAATTTAAATAGGCACCTCTTTCCAAAAACAAAAAAGTCATAGTCAATCAAGCCGGAGTAGGTAATCGCGTAACCTACACACACAAAAAATGCAGTCGTATTAAGAACCTCGTTTTTGAAATCGGTTAAAACAAACGGCATTTTAATTTGTAGAACTAGTAAATTGTGGACAGTTGGCAAAAGTGCAAAGCATGCGAACTTAACGGTACCTAGCTACATTTTTGCGTATTTTGCTCTTAAAAAAGTCTGCGTTACGAAAACTTCAATGAAAGATTGTCTTACCAAACCGAGAGTATTTTTAGCCTGCGCCAAATACTCTGCGACCTAGTTTGAACGATGCTTTTAGACCATTTCCGTAGTCCTTTCTGAATGTTATGAAATGGTAGTGACTGTAAATTAACCAATTTCATAAGACCCTACGTTTCTTACGTGCAGTAACGAATGTATGTTTCTTTTTACATTAGATGTTGTAAAAAGAAACGAATGAATGTTTTTTTAGGACTTTCGGACGAAGAGAATAAATAATAAAAAAAAATGTAAAATTGTTTTCGTTCAGAAAAGGATTGTCTTTTTTAGGTCTTTTGTAAGACACAATGAGGTTTTTAATGTAATTTAGGATATTATTACTAAGAATAAGTAAACGTATTAATCATACATTTTTAAACAGGCATGGCAGTGCACTGCCAAGAAGCGCGATTCTCGCACAATGAAGGTCTTTTTTGTGCAAAGGATTGTCGAGAATCAATTAAAAGTTCGTCTTTTTCCGTATAAAATGATTTTCCTAAATCCGATTATAATGATTTCAATTGATGTTTTGTTTCCTTTTGTTCTGAACAGATATTTAATGTTAGGAATATAAAAGGACTTTTCATTTAGAGAAGATGTAGAAAATTAATTTAATTCTTAGTAAATAATTATAATAGTATGCTAGATTGTATTGTACTCTTGAATTGTCTCTGGGCAATGAAAAGTCTTCAATGACAAAGGCAATACAGTAAAGTAGCTAAGAAAAGAACAGCAGTCTATAGCGCTTGAACCTGGACCTCACCAGGTGTCCATCCATCGGCTGGGCACCTGGTGAGGGGCCTACCCACTAAGCGTCGTCCGGTGCACGGTCGCCATTGCAGAATCTTTCCGCCCCAACGGCCATCGGTTCTCCTAGCTATGTGCCCCGCCCACTGCCACTTCAGCTGAGCAATTCTTCGAGCTATGTCGGTTACCTTAATTCTCCTATGGATTTCCTCATTTCTGATTCTATCACGTAGGGAAATACCGAGCATATTTCCCCATTGCCCGCTGAGTGACCTTGAGCCTCCTTATGAGGTCCATAGTGAGGAACCACGTTTCTGATCCATATGTGTTATATATATGTTATAATAAGGGCTAGACAATGATATCGGTTTTCATAATGGTAAACTTTCAAAGGATAAGTCCAACAGGTTTTTTTATAATACCAAGTAACGGGACAAACAAGTCGTGCGCCTGGTGATAAGCGACACACTTATCCATAACAGTTGCAGTGACACTCAGAGCTTTAAATGGCAAAGATCTTATGGGCACCGCCACTGCGCCCGTCACCCTGAGACATAAGGTGACTAGTCCCAATGTGCCTGTTATTTCGTCAGCACCCTTATCCTTCTAAACTGAAACCCAGTAATGCTGACATTACTTCTTGGCGGCAGAAATAGGTAGGGTGGCAGTACTTCCCTGGATGAACTCTTTCTCAAAGCTCGAGCCATTCCAGATACCTGGTATTAATACATTCAAAGCCTAAATAATTCTATCTTTTGTTGTACCAGTCAAACGCTAGATTGAACACCAGCGTTTTTTTTTAACAAACCGTACTTTTGTGCTATCGTGTAATTAGTGACCGCAAAAATCATCGCGCGCATCAATCACTGGCAATAATATGACTCGTCATTATCTCGGAGAAATCGTCGTGAAAGCTAGCACGACTAAGGGCATGATACTTTTAGAGGTAAGTAGGCAATTACTGTCCAATATTGGCTCGGATGTACATTCGTATCAAAAAACTGTAGGAAAAGTATATTAAGCAGCTCTACGTTAGAAGTACAGATAACTTGATACGTCTAAATTTCACTTTCTTTCTTGACTTTGATATCCATAATGGATCCTTACATTAACGCAAAGAACCTTCGTTCATGTCATGCCAAACATCATTAATGTACACGTTAAGGTTTTAGTCAATGTTCTCTCGGCATTTTGTACTATACTGTTCAGGCCAAAGCTGAGCATTAATAGCTTTCTGAGTATTTTTTAGACACTGATTTGTTTTTGTATTGTTTCAGGTCCCAAGATAACGAGGAAGCTGATAAGAATAATGACTCGGTGTCCAGGGTACCACCACACTGCCATATAACAATTAAATGTACAAGAGAGGTAAAGACATTATTTAGAGCCTATCTACCTCAGTAATCCATCACCCACTCTTCAGTAAGATCTCTTTCTCGTGCTCGTTGAGCTATATTGACTTCTCACTGTAACCGCAACTTCACGTCGGCTGTCACTTGGCTGTTGGTCAGAATACAGATCTTTCCCGCAACCTTACTTACCTACTAAGTTAACAATAAAAATTACGAATACACAAACAAAACATCTCGGTTATCTTGTATCTAACAATGTTTTCCCAAGGAAACCTTCAAATCCAATTACCGGATGGACACATTCACTTAGGGTCTTAAGTTCCCTTTTCCGATCACAGGAAGCAATTATCTTACCTCATTCTTTAGCAAGATACGGTTTCACTACTTAAGAATTTTTCTTTTGACTTGGAGAATTTTGTTTAGGGTGGTCTGGTATGTATTACAATCACAATTAAACCAAATTCCTTTTCACTCAGCGTGGGAATCAATCACGATTTAGTGTCGCGTGGGTGCCTCTTGATGAATGTAAATTTCTCCAAATAGTCAAAACTTCCTGTAATTACTAAACTAGACACGTAGGTTGGCGAATGCCGTAAACCTACAAGTTAAGAAAGGCTGCTGCCCATCCCTTGGAAATACGTAAGGTTATACCTAACTTAACTTTCTACGACAACCACGTTGCCATTCATCGTCATCATCATTAAAGCGTATTGATAAACAGCCAACTGTTATGAAATACCTCGTAAAGATGGTCTCTTATTACTCAGATCGCAGGTTTCAATGGTCTGTCGGAAGCAGTTCGACGACTCGACTTCTCTTCAGCGGTGCGTGACGTGAGAAGATTCAACTACATTTGTGCCCTGTTAGAGTTGCTGCTAGGAGGCCAAAGACTGACGCATTTACCCGGCGCTGCACAGAAGTTGCTACTGTCCATGTTGGAGCAACTTGCTGATCAAGGTAAGATATAAGTATGTGAAAAATATAGGTACGTAGATATAAGCCAGGCTTCTATTTATTATTGTGCAGATGCAGTACATTTAAGTTTATTGGATACTTGAATGACCCCGATGCGAGATTATGAACTTCAAGACCTTTGCCTGCGGGCACTACCGTGCTCACGAAATGTACATACGTGTTGATATTTTTAATCGACTTAACAAGAAAGGAGAAGTTTCTTAATTCGACTGTATTTTTTTTTGTATGTTACGCGTTTGTGAACCGATTTTGATGATTCCTTTTTTGTTGGAAAGAGGATACCTCAGTATTGGTCCCATTTAAATTTGAAGGAAATATTCCACCTCTAAGGGAGGTAAACTAGGGGATGAATTCGGTTTCGCGCACTTTCCGGTAACCGATTTCAATAAAACTTGGTAAATAGACGTAATTCCACGAACTTTTGAGGTCGGTTTTACAACCAAAAACCTTGAGATATTCATTTCAAACACCTGAATTAATACAAAATATTAATTTGTTTTAAGTAGTATTAGAGCTCCTTGTGAAAGAGTTCGTCTAGGGTAGTACTACCACCTACCTATTTCGGCCGCGTTATAATTATGAAGGGTAAGGGGTGCTGGTGAAATGAAATTACAGGCACAAGCCCCATGCTTGTCAAATTAAGTTTCAGGGTGACGGCGCAGTGGCAGTGCCCCTCAGATCTTTGTGATTTAAAGTAATGAGTGGTGCTACAACTGTTACGGACAGGCGTGTCACTTACCACCAGGTGCTCGACTTGTTCGTCCCGTCACTTGGTCTCATGAAAAAAATTAGGACCGCTCAAATTTTCAACGCTATAATCCTTTTAAAGACAAAGTCTGTCCTAAGTTTTATAGTGATGTCTTCTTTATTTTTTTAAATTCTTTGTCGTCAGTGGCCGAATCGAAACAAAACCTAAACGCTTTACGAGCGCTACTGGTAGCTCTACAATCTTTACGCGAAGCAGAAAGAGGTTCATGCTGGGGACGGCCCTTGGGCTCCCGAGCGTTGTGGCGTCATCACGACCATGCTATACAGCGTATACATTCTATTGCACAGGCTATTTGCATACGTGGGGTAAGTTACTGTCTCTAGTATATGTGCTCCTGGTTTTCTGTATATAGACTTTTCTATATAATCCTGCAACCACAAAATTATTCGAGAAATTGATACGACATATGAAACCGTAGGTAGTAGAGTCTCACTATTTGCTGAAGATCGATACCTCCAGTGGACACTACACCAACTTTTTTTAGGACATGTTATGTTTTTTTTCTATTTTTTGTTTCTTTATCTTTTTTTTTTCAAAATTCGTTTCTTTGTTTTTTCAACATATTAATAAAAACAAATATGGCTGTTTGAAAAATAACAGAAAATGACCAAAAAATAAAATTGGCGTAGTGTTAATTGAAGGTATCGAGACAGTGTCACAAAATTGAAATACATGATATTAAGACAGATGTGTAGGACTCGCAATCCGAGCATTTTTGGGAAGGGTTCAGAGAGAATAAGAAGCATAAATAAAAAAGATAATCTAGAAAAGGAGAATCATCTAGAAAAAGGGCTCATATAACATTTTTATCAAATCACTAATAATTTAAATTACAATCTGTAGTGTATTTGATGTATTATGATATAACACGTAAATATAATAATATTACATTAATTACTGTGGAATTTAAAATCCAAGCTGAAATAATTTTTTTTATTTCAGCCGGGACCAGAAGTAGTGCCTAAGCTTCACGATTTGCCTGAAGAATGTATCAGAGAAATTCTACTAAGGATACAAGACCACAGGGATTTAGATGTAAGTATGCTTTGTAAAGGTTGGTACTAGATCCCGACCTTCGTCTGCGTAGAATAAGTTCGAGTAGTCAGTAAACTACTATAGTATAGTAATACTATACTAAGTTTCATACAATGGCTTACCAATGGTTTCATAGTTTTTTATTGGTTCTCCATACAAACTTTCGTCCAACATTTCTCACCCCTCTAAAATTTATTTTTGTGACATAAAGTACCCTATGTCTTTCACAAAGGCAATGTTAAATATTCTTTATTTCATAGGTAAGCAAAAAAAAAGAAAATTATTTATTTCTCAAATTTTATGCATATGCATAATATAACACTTGAAATCGTCATACTGATTAAACTCTACTGTTTATTCGTAAAGCAGATTCTTCTGAGACGAATGAGTAAGAAACTCGAGGGGTTGCCCTTTTAAATATACATTTGGAAACATTTATCATTACGACATTTAATTTAAACATCTTAGATCGAGACTACGTGTAAGAGGTAAACGGGTCACCACCATGAATTTTTGTCATCCAAATACGCAGAAGCTACATAATAACTTTAGTATAAACTTTTTGTTTCACAATAGTTTTAAACCTTGTAAATGACAAATTTTGAATATGAATTGGAATCTTATTATAGACGCGTATACATTACCCCTTAAATGAATTTGTGACTTTAGGAAGACTACGTAGGTGTGAAAACGTATTTATAATATTAGTTTGGATTTTTTTTAACATATTTTTTCCATCTTCGTAACGTCTCCAACAACTTTTTGCTACACAGGCAGCGTCATCAGCATGGAGCGTAATGGCTTCTGTTTGTACTGAGCAAAGAATATGGCGCGAGCTGGTAGCATTCCACTTCTCGCAACAGCAGATTGATGGTGTGCTGAAGGGGAAAGACGACGGGGTAGATGTGGATTGGAAAAAGGTCTTCCATCAGCTTAGGAAGTAAGTTTTGACGTACTCAATATCCTTTATGAAAAAGTTTCGACGATTTGTTATTCAAGCGTAACAACAAATGATTTAAGTAGATTTTCCGTTAATACAGAGTACTCTGCTTATAAATGAAACTACAATAGGTATTAAGGGGTCACACTTGATGGTGACTCGGTGTAATTAATACCACTATTACGATACGATGCCTCGCTTAAGGTGGGTTTCCATCGGCGCGGCGAGACAAGGATTGAAATTTATGTGACAAAATTTGGATCTGTTGCAAGATTATGGGGTGCGTAGTATTTGAGATTAAAAAAAATAGTTTCATCTGATTCTTCTACAGCGCGAGCTCGCGCCAGCTATTAATGGCATTTTTAGGTAGAAAGATTTCAATTTTCGTTTCGTCTCGCTCGCCGCTGGAAAACCACCTTTATGGGCCGCGGATGTACCCCAAAGAGATTCTAAACCTGACCTGTACATTTTATAAAATCTCAGAATAATTTTGTGGCCTTCTCGAAAATTCAAATTTCTTCATGATTTTAATACGTAATTCCATCTACAGGTTGTACGGATTGCGTGAAGACACGCAGTTCGCAGAAACGTTGTCGTTGTGTCGCCACTGCAAGTGTCTGTTCTGGCGCTCGCTGGGACATCCCTGTATAGCTGACCAGGTAAATTCATATCAAAATAGTTACAATTATGGCGGATTGACAGGTAATTTCTATAACAACAACAACAACATAATCATGAAGACACGTAACCTCTTTTTGTAGTGAAAAGTTTTATTTAAAATTAACCCAATATAAAATTGTTGAAAAAGATTAACAAAGTTGTTAGTTAATAGTATTGATGTCTTAAATCAATTAATCATACAATTATTTCATACAACGCTGACATGATCATACACGACCACGGAACAATAACGAAAATAAACACTATCGAAAAAACATGGCGGCCAAAAAACTAAGACTTGATAATAACCAGAGAACTAAATAACCTAAACATCAAGGAATCTATACACGAGTGGATAATACATCTCTCATATTTATGTGTTTTGTGTATGTCCTTAGAATAATAACGCATAAAATGATAGTTTCATATCAAACGAACTGTCACAAGTGAGGCAAAAATCTAATTCATGTAGGCTAGTTTTAGTAGTAGGTTAATTTTCGGTTGTAGTGAATATTTATATAAAAATACAAGTTGAAACGCGTTACTTCTTTGTGGAATGTGATGTTAGTATCTATTTTATGTTTGTCTGACGTATTTTTACACTCACTTACGCACATTTCGTCATTTTTAGCTAAAATTCTTGATCTGTTCGCGGTGCAAGTTGACCTTGAGCATTGAAGGCCCGCCCGCTCGTGTAGGTAAATTGGGCGCGCTTCAATTTGCCTCACTTAGCGTGTGCGGACTGGATTTCTATGCGTTATTATTCTAAGTGTATGTCCATTATTTTAATTTAAAAAAGTTTTGTAATTGCGAGTAAATATATGTAAAAATGTATTTTGTTTTGATGCCTTTTCATTTTAATCAGACCGGGATTTCAAAACGAGGTACTATCTACTCTTAAATGTATTAGTTCATTGAATTTTAGGTAATATTATAAATATAATAAATAATAATATTAATGCAAACCACTCTAATCCAAACTATAGTTAAAAAAGTTATCAATTTAAATACCTTATTTTTAATTTACCAAACATTCCAATTTACGCTTTGTAGGATTTGCAAAATACTTTATTTTAACAATATAAATTCTTTACCAAGTAAAATTTATTAATTAAAATGTAATTACAAATAAATAATAAAGATAAGTTAACACGTATTTCTAGTCGTTCGTGACCATAAGCCCGAAACGTTAGTTTGTTTGAGAAAACAAATATACGCGATTTACATCCGAAAAATAGTTTCATTACTTATGTAACAATCGCGACTACCTAAAGTTATTTTGACAATTCTTATTCCATTAATACTTGAGTTATTCTACAAGATACTGGATACAGAATAAATGTTCATGCAATAAACCCCCTTTTAAATTCCACATACTATACCTTTACAAGGACATTGACAATGTTACTATTTTTTTTGCTTTCTTTTCCAGTGTCCTGAATACCGTGAACGGCTAAAGGAAGCCGGTGGCCCTCTGCCCCCGCACCCCGTGCCCCCCGCAGCGTTCCTCAAATTCTTCAGTCTCTAAACGCGTAACATCGAAAATTTTGACTGTGAATTTAGTTTCAGGCCAACTATCGCATTGTTAAACCAGTGTGTTCAGTAAGTTAAGGACCGTTTAACTGCTAGTAAGTTAATGACGCTCGTGATTTGTTGCGTGGGTTTCCATCACTTGACCCGCAAACCGCTGGAGGGCTGTGCTGTTGTCCATCATGTTGAACGTATGCTGTAATTTGTGAAAGTTTTGAAAAACTTCATTGAGGGGAATAAATAATAGAAATAAAAATTTACTTAACATACTGGTAACAAAAATTAGAGCGTAATTCAATTTGAATTAAGTAAAGTATTACTTTTTGACTATTCTATGTGATGAACTTTATAATTTACAAAACATCCTGAATACAACTTTGTCAGGTTTCATTGCAGAGTATATCGTTACAAACATGTTTTTTTATGGGGACCTCACATTAGTTTGCACCAAGTCTCTATAACATCATCAGCTTTTTGCTGATAGTCTCGTAACATCGCTGATATAACAACAATAAGCGTACCTATAATCTCTTTTTTGAAGACGGAGTAAAATGACATTTGCAGGGTTGCCAGTTTTCATAAAATTTTAAATAGTTCTGTAGTTGTTGTCGATAGTTTTATCGATAGATTATGCGAGAAGATAAAATTTTTTACATTGAAATTGTGAATTTTACGAGGTTCTAATGATTGCTAATTGTATCGAGGTCAATTTTTAACTTTAAAAAAAAAACTTGTAAAATATGTCTCCTTTTTGTATTTTTCATAAACATAGTTCTAAATACAGTGTATGTATGAACTTACATAATTGACAATTCAAAAGAACTTAGAACAAGAAGTAACAGGATGAATAACGGATCGAGGATGATTCAAATGAAACAACTTCGGCCATTTATTCCCTTAGCGTGACCCAATATTCAGTCAATAGTCGATAGAATATTTATCGACTGCAATCACTAGCGGGCAACACTTTTGCGCAATGAACAGTCATTTTACTCAGTCTTCAAAAAAGACAGACTATACAATGTCACATTCCTAAATACGTGCACCAGCTGAAGATGTCATTAAAACAGCTGGGTGCTAATTTATACAATGATTCTATTGCTTCAAAAGTTAATGTACAACTTTGTTTTTAGGGTGTGCTTGTAAAATAAATAATAAAAAGAGAGTATTCACAATCATCTTCCAAATGATTCGATCGAATCCGAACTGAAATAGATCTCAGGCTAAGGCCTATATTTGAAAAGGTTTATTAATCTGTGTTGAAGTTATAGCACATATTTCTAAACCCCTACGGCGTGTCTCTCTCCTACCTCTTATAATTGCCGATTCGGCGTTGGAATTGCTATGCTGGTTAGCTAGTACAGGAGTGAGTAGATATACAAAACCAAGTATTTCAACATTAGAGCGACAAAAACCGGGGTATCTGATCCGATAAGTGAAGGAACGTCCTTAAGGTCGATTTATAGTTCGTGTAGAGTAAACTTGCAGAATTTTAGAACTTAACCGGGCGAGTAACTTGTTACTACCTTTTTTTCGTGGGGAATTCCTCCTAGGATACGTCTCCGCCGCGGGCCAGCTTGACATCTACCGTCTAAAACCTCACGGTGGCTTTCTCGGGTGCTCTAGTGGGAAGGATCCAGGATCCGCTTTACTTTTAACTTGGACCGCGTATGCCGTGGAGCACACGGGTCCAAGATCGCTTCCTGACCTGAGTCCCTTTCTGGTCCGGCCACGAGTCGACGTCGCAGATGAAGCTGAGGCGAGCGATATGAAGGAATCGGAATCCTCCCCACCGCTCCCCCAGTAACGCTCGGTGCCGGTGTCCTAGGACGCGCGAACCTTCCCGAATCATCTCATGTGGGCGGGCGCTTAGCCCGCTCCTCCGTGCCATGCCAAGGTCGTTGGTAGCTTCGGGTGCCTTCTGGGTTCCCGCCGACATCACCTCCAATTCGACTACACATGCACGATCGGTGTCCAGTGCTATCGCCAGGTCGTGTTCACGGGTATCAACGGCAGACCCCCAAAGTACGGGGGCTGCCACCCGCCAAAGCGGATGGGCGAGATTAATTTTCAAAACTTCAAAACTTGCCTTGTTCATTGGTTTTGGGTTTTTAAGGTGTTCCACTCCCCTGTGGGACTCTCTAACAACTGGATACCCTCCAGTCATTCATTCCTTCGCCGGGCGTCGGAACTTGGGATTGCTGTGATTTTTACAGAGGTTTTCTTCCTTGCGGCCCTCCTCTCAATGAGGTGAACCCCTGGTCCCGCTGAATGCGGGATTAAGGGTTCGGGCAACCCGTCGGCTAAGGCCAAACTTCGTCGTAGGACAGACAGGACATCGCGCAGTGCAAAAGGTGACAAAACCTTCTGCTTGTGGAGCAAATATATGCTCCTCACCTCCGTTAGACAGATCCGTCCCGTGCTTAACGGTACCTACCATATCTGGCACGCGTACCTCGCGACAATGCGTCGCGAGGTACGCGTGCCAGATATGGTCCTTGTCCCATCTCCGCGGGCAGATGTTCAGGCTAAGCAACCGCCTGGCCTCTCCACTGTGCCCTCTGCTAATCAGTGACACGCGGAAGGGCCCTCCGTTTGCTTCTTAGCTTCACTATAGGCTGAATTGCCTGCAGACAATGAGCCCCCCACCACGACGTCGGGCAAGACGGGGGGAACTTGTTACTGCCTATAGTATCTAAACAAGATACTTGCAAGTTGACAGCTCACTTACGTAAACAAAGTGTTAGTCGACCCTTGGATAAAGATGAGGATGAAAGTTGTTGCAACATTTTTTTATTTGACTATGATCAAAGGAAGGGTAATGTTCTTAAAAATGTGTCCAACAGACTCGACCAGTGATTATTATAGTAAAAAAAGTGTTAGGATGTTATAAAACTAATAATTGTCTATCTACAAGTTTTTTCAAAAATAATAATCGAAATATGTTCTTATTTTGAAACGCTAATTTTATCCTGTTAATTTTTTTTTATTATTTTGACATTTAGAAGGAATTGTTTAGATTTCTTGTAGGTACTAGTTGTGATGATGCTGAGTTGGCGTAATTGCGTCATAACCGCAAGTGTATCAATCACCCTTATAAATTACATAGAAAAAAAAGGAACAGGTACAACGTATTTATGTGGTCTATGTGGTCTGTGGGTACAACTATTGCAATTAATGCAATAAACCAGTGAAACATGACCAGTGAAATTAACTAATGCTAGAAATCAATTAACCAAAAAAAATTATCCAGGCTTTGATTAAATTTAGTTTTAAGTTAAAATTAAGCTTTGTTTTGTTCACCTAGTTTTGTTTGTGCACTAATGCTTAAAAAATATAAAATTAATGCTTTAAAAAAAAACTATGTGATATTTCCAAAATTTTTATCGAAATAAGTGTGTTATTTCATTACATTATACATAATGTAGCAAATATCTTGATTCTCATGAAGTTTGGCGCCTTCGTACCAAGTAAGTACTTCTATGTATTACTTCGCCCACGTCCTCAATATCACTTCCTTGCTAAAGACCCCCGCTCTGTATACCAAAGCTTCATTTGATTGACCATGTCATCAGAAAGTAAAATAAGGAATATTAAAATTGTCACTTGTATTATAGTTTACAGTTCCAAATTTTCTGTATGGCATATTCATATGAGGGACTACGCCGCTCAGTGTTGCCGCTTCATTTACAAACATTTGTTCTGGTGGCGCCATCTATATTCTGCCACGACATAATATTGTGTAGTTACTGCAATTTGAATGGGATTAAGGTATTTGCCACATCTTTTAATCGATTTTTGAGTGTTGTTTGTTATGTTTTTCAACTGTATTATTATTTAATACTTGGTCACATAACATTATAGTTATTATGTTCTAGAACATTTCTTTATTAGGTGCTGAAATTGAGAAATGATATAAATCCTATCGAATTATTTTACTTATCTAATGTAGTGTGAAGATTCTAACAGTATTCAGTCCGTTCTTCATATATGTGTCTCAGATTGGTAACGGACCGGTCGTTGAGACCGATGGCCAGTTTTTCAACCAATAAACCAATTTTTTTTATTATTTTGACTCCGTCTGTGATCGATCCTTGCACCATAAACAGATTCGTGCTATAGTCTTAATAATGGTTGAAGATGATCCTCGGGGTAATAAAACAAACCATCCGATGCCTTACTTTTTCAAACTCGTATCTTACAGAGTGATTATTCGGTAGATGGCAAAACTTTCTACCTATTTATTATAAATTTCTTGTCAAGGAATTTGGATAATTTAACTTTAAGAATAGGTAAAAGCTAGTGTGTAAATATGAAGGAAATGTGATGTCAAATCAGCCTGCAAAATTTGTATAAACAGTCCATTTTTGGAATTTCAGAGACTTTATGCTTTAAGATACGAGTTTGACAAAATAAGACGATGCTATCACAACATTTTGGCTAGAGACAACCCTAGTAACAGATTATCAACAATTCTGTGATCGTTAATGTAAACATGTAATGGTAACTATTATATGTCTAATTGAATTCTATCATCTCCCTGCGACATATAACATGACGTCATGATGAATATTATTTAAAAACTAAATCAATAACTATAAGGTTTCGTCGAAATTAAAATTAGTAAAAAATTCATCTAGTTAAGGAGAAGCAATATTTTAATACAAGAAAAAATGTTATTAGGCGTTATTCTTGAATGCTTGTTTCATATGAATACTGTTGTGTAAGATAACTTCTATTTTAGGCCTAAATTTAGTTGTTGAATTGTCCATAACAGTAAGGGTATGCTGCTGCGGCTACAGTAGAGAAAAATTTAAAATAAACTATTATAAGTAATGTGTCACATACTGTCGCAAATTTATAAACAAACACACTGCCAGAAAATTAGAACTATATTTTAAAATTATATGTTTAATGGTAAATTAAAAGATCTTTTTAAGTCGTAAAACAGAATTATAATTCTAAATTTAAGGTGTATTGGTGGCCATCTTTGAATTAGTACATCTTTTTACGGCTCTGAATAATTAAGAACCTGTTTGCATTGTATGCGTCACATTTTTCATTAATTTTAGACAAATGCATACTGTTACATCTTCGGTTAATATCATGTGAGATTAAGCGAGTGTCTATCTGACATTGAAATTTAAAAATCTGCATACATAATACATGATGATGTCAGCAGTTAACTCATGCTATTAATTGATAATGTGGCGTAACTGCGCGGATTAGTGCGCGTGGACCTTTAGGCACATTGTACATCACAAATATATGAAAATAAAGTTACACTAAGCAGAAAGATGTTAAAACAAAGAACTCCTGTTTGTTTTTTAAAAAACAAGTCTTATCTTATTTGGTGAACAATTATTTGCACTAAACCTTGGAAGTGTTAGTGGCGTGGTTGAAATTGATGTAGTCGCAGCTAAAAAGAATTTATTGGTTATAAATTTATAATTTAAAATATCTAAATTAAAGATATTCTAAGTCTGATGTTCTGTCAAAACGTTTATTGTAATTTTACTGTGTAGTGTAGTTGTTGATATTGTGATATTTTAAGATATAAACTTGAATGAGGTGGTATATCAAGTTTTTAAATACTACTGGTATTAACGAACCTTTAAAAATTCCGCGGAAATTATCGCGAATGCATTCCCGAGCTTGCGCGAGAATTCGATACAAAAATTCGCTTCCATTCCGTTTCGCCGCAATTTAAATTGACCCTGCGCTGGTGTGCGGCGCACACTGTGTACTTAGTGTTGCATTTCCCATCAGGCATTTAAGTTTTGTTGCTTGTTATTTATAACAAAAAAGACAACCAAGCTACCCCACATAATCCCGTTTCCTTGCCTTTTCCTACAAATTGTGAGAAATGAATACAATAAAACTTTATTCCAAATATAAGTAAAAATAAAATTCTTTAGAAAACTTGATATACCTACCAGTAAATTAGTCCGAAGAAGCTAACACTAGTGTAGTATAAAGAAATGCAGCTTACTCACTGTTTTAAGTCATTTTAGTTAATCTGTGATGATTTTTGTTTTTGCAAAAGGAATTGTTTCTCACCTGTGTTCTCACTATTAGGTACTTTATATGGTATTTTGAAATAAAGTTATTTTGAATATGAAATTACTCCAGTTTTTATTAAGTTTTGTGTTGTTAAAACCACTTGGCTAGGTTCAAATCGACCCCTACTACTAAATTATCGTATGTTGAAATTGTCAAGTTTACAGGCGAGCGTTTTAAAGTTTTGAATTCACTGAAATGAGTATAATTATAAAATAAATTGTGGTATGTAGTTCATCTAACCATATCTAGGATTTTATAATACTCTATGTGACCAACGAGCTTTGCGGAATAAAACTGCAAAATTATAGTTACAGTTACAGAATTCAAAACTTTAAAATGCTCCCCTGCAAAATTTGGCAATTTCGACATACGATACTTTACGTAGGAGGGGTCTAAATGGACGGGCATTGGAATGTATGTGCAGATAACGCACGGTCATGTGAGCAGGTACACTGATAGTAGATTATAATTCTTGTTCATGAAGTGTTTTCTCCATGACTGTGCCACAGACAAAGGAAAACGAAAGTTTAATTTATTTAATATCATTAATGTTATTTTCAGTATACCTACACAAGTCTTTTGTTCATTATTTTTAGCAATCTGCCTCGTGTTATACTAAATAAAATTACTGTTAAGCAATGCATCATCAGCAAGGGCTCCAAGCAGTTTTTTATGTGTTATATATGCTATTATTCTACCTAAATTAATTAATTTTACCGAAATGGGAAAATGGAGTAAAGAAACAATTAAATTAAAACAATTCTTATATTAAATTAAAAAACATACTTCTGCACTTACGAAGTATAATACCCTATACAACATGTAGACACAAATCCGTGAATATTTATGCAGATACATTTCCTTGACCTACGTTTATGACACAAAATTCTTCAATTACTTTATGCAAGTTCGCTTTTCACTTTTTCACAATGTCTCACTAAATCTTTCAATTTATACACCAAGTCCTGTATTTGCTGGCTCCCACAGGTAAATCGAACATCGTTGCCGTCGTCTGTCTTCAATATAATCGTGTATAATAAGTTATCGGAGCCTACTCCTGGAGTATTGGTGACGACTTCCAGCTTCCATTCCACATCCACAATTTTCGGCAAAACACTAAGTTCAAGCGCTTTGTTAGGCTCCATATTTTACTCAAAAGTTTACAACATGATAAAAATTTTCTTTTAAAATAATTTTTACTAATAAAATTGGTGGGCGTGCAAGACAAAACAATACAAATTTCTTCTGTCTGACGTTTGACGTACGTTAACCCAGGGTTACCATTTCCCAAACTGAATCTCGCACCACACGTACAACATAGAATTAGCATACTATTTTCGATTAAGAATGATTTTTTTAAAGTTATTGATGTGAATGTTAAAAAGTACTTGGGTAAAAAATATCGTCGATTAAGTTAGCCGATTATAGGATTACTGATATCGATATATAATATAACCTTAAAGAATTCCGATAGATTATGTAAGGCTTAAATTTGTTCCGTCGCAATGTAAATTGAGCCTAATGAGCAAAATCTTACTTTGGCTATTTGCATATTACCTTTTTTTCCATAGAATAGAATAGAATAGAATAGAATATATTTATTACTTACCATACTTCTACTACTACTACTACTACTTTATTACCATACTTCTAAGGCATACCCATATCTATGGGCATACCACGTGACTTGACGTCAACGTTACAGAAGTACACCAAGGCATATTTTTCTAGTTTAAGGTGTTTCGCCACTCCTGTTGCCATTTATATTAAAAATTCTGTTGTTTTATTTATGCAACTGGGAAAAATCTGACATTTTGCCATTTTAGGAGAATTATTTTACTTTGAATCGGCAAACACCGTTATTATGTTTAGCAGCGAAATTTATTCACGCTGTGTAAAATTTTGAAAATGAATTTTATTTGGACACTGAATTCTAAAAGTTTATAAGTACAACATAGTAAAAGTCGCCGAAAATAAAAGTCACGGATAAAATAAATGTACTTTTATTACAAAATTGTTAGTATATTAGACAACTTTATGAAAGTTGTAACATTAATTCACTTCAAAAATATTTATTCTTCGTAATTAATATTAAATATGTAAACACTTTAAGGCAAATCATACTGCATTCTATATTAGGCTTACATTTTTAAGGCACATTTTTTTCATACAAGCACTTCGACTTATATATACATTAACACCATCAGTTTGTAAATTGTACATAAAATTGTATATAACAATACTTTATAACATAATAATATATGTAAATTTGAATTAAGAGATTCGTAATTGAGCTGAAGTTTGAATAACTAACTCAAAAACAAGTTAGTTTTGGACTCTGAAATAGTGGGGCAACAACGACTTGTAATGTCCTTGGCTGTACTAGTAGATAAGGTTGTTTCAACTTCAGCAACAATTCTATAAATTACAAGTGGCACTCAAATATTCGCAAAAGTTGAAAACTATTTTTAACAATGTCGCCATCATTGATAATAATTATTAAAATAGTTTTAATTTTTATTAATAATTACATTACACAGAACACAACCTAAATACAACAACTAAAAATACTGGCAGTTAATATTTTAAAAGTCTTAAGAATAAAAAACATATTTGATTACATAATTTGATGTTACAAATATTTTAATACGAAATTTAAAATTCCAAGCGTAGTGCTACACCTGTCGAAGTTCAGATGCCGAATTCGGAACGGCCAATAGGAGTTCGCTAGCGAAGTTCGACAACATGTCTCCGGCAGGTGTAATGCTGCTTAATTCCCATTGTTTTAAAAAGATTCTGTTAATGTTTTACGTGCATTTCAAACATGTAGAATTCATATACATCGAATTAAGCTTTTGTGTAAATGGCACCATAGATATCACAATATCTGCTTATTCATTTCGATACCGTATAAATACTCTTTATTGCAAATAAGAACAAAACATAAACAAAAAGACAAAGCACAACAGGCGGCATTGTCATTTACGTGATATTAGTTTATAACGCAGTGATACTTTTAACTGTTTAATTTAACATAGCTTGATATGGCAGCCTCGAGATTTTTTACTTATATTCGCGATTTTTTACATATATGTCAAACCAGGGCTGGTATTTTAAGATCTTATTTATAGGATTACAAGAAAACTGTTAAACGGCCGTTTCGCACGTAAAATGTTAGTGTTGTCGGGCTGGAAATATATCCAGTGCATGTAATTGTCAAAATACATGTCGTATGTAATTGTAAAAAAGTATATCTATATTCCTCTTTATCATGATCATGTATAATTAATTACGGGCGCGTAATTTTTGTCGCATTTTTATGCAAGCAGTCCTATAGGCAGCATTAAAATTGAATATAGTAATTAATGTTTACTTTTAATCTAAGATTAAAATAGGCAGATTACATTTACCTAACAAGCGAGTAACACATATAGTGTGGATAATACCTGCTTCTGAAATTCCAGAATTACGTTAAGTTTTGTTCTACATTTTTACTACGGTATGTAGTGTGTTTAAAACGTAAAAGATAAGTTTTTATTAATAATTTAATTTTTATTCATTTAAAAACATTTCGAGATTTCAGAGGGAGGTATTATCTACTCTATGCATATCAATTGAAGTTTAGGTAAATATCATATTTCTATATCAATCTCCGCTTAGTATACATGAAAATATCATAAAAAGACGTCCTCTTGTACATATGTATAATATGACGCCACGTATTATGATTTTCAATCTCAGATTTAGACACGTCAAAATCATAGAGAACTTCATAGTTAAAATATTTCAAGGCATTATTTAGATTTAAGTATCCAGTGAGTGAAGTCGGGTAATATGAATGAATTGAAATGTGTTATTTTTAGAGAAGCCTATTTATAAGCAAAGGAATAAGATGGCAGTAATTAAATATAATCCCTTCTGCATAATGAAGGGGTTAAAGTAAGATACTGCTAAGTTACATTATTTTTGCATTTGATATACAAAAACAGCCAATTCGGAATAAATGAATCGTTTTGACGATGAAAGCGGTGCTGCAAAAGTAACAAAACTACTAATTGCAATATTTATTTTACATCGATGTTTGTTTAATAATTATAACACTATTAATTGTTCGCGGTTGAAATACTTTGGAAACCACACTCAATGTTTACACGTCGTTACTATCTCGAATTTATGAATTTATACAATGATAAGAAATATTCTACTGCATCAAAGAAATATGACTCAAACAGTCTCTTGCCCTAACCCCATATATGTATCTGTACCTGTTGACTTTCTTACTAACCTTACCTTCAATACACCGTTTCATTTCTTCTTTATGTACGTATCAACGTTTCATTTTCTCAAGAATAGGTAATACCATTTCGAAAGAAGGCCGTTTACCCGGATCCTCATTCATGCAGATCATGATGAGCTTGGAGATGTGCGGAGAGACGCCTGGCGGGATTGTGATGCGGAGTCCTTCAAGGGCGATTTTCATGCCACATTCCATTGGGGACAGATCTGCAAAGGGTACCTGGCGAAAACATATTTTTAATAATTAATAATAGTAATAATAACTTTTTTATTATGAAAACTAACACGGTTATCACACATTATAATATAAAAGTAACGGGACTTACTCGTGTAGTATTTTAGTCGGAAGCGGTCCGACTAGTTTCGACCATAATCGATGGTCTTCTTCAGGGGTTGAGTGCAACATTCGCGACCGCGTCAGACAGAAGACAGGTCTTCGTGGCGCTCGGTATGCAGCTGCAGATGTTAGTGGTAACGACGTGGTGAGCTCTGTGTGCTGGACTGTTCCCGACAACAACCCTACGGACAGCAGTAGCGAAGAAGAGTTCCAGGACGCGCTGACGCAACGTATCGGCCTCCCGAGTTCCGAATGCTAGATGTGACGTGGTCGCGAACGTTGCACTCAACCCTTGAAGAAGACCATCGATTATGGTCGAAACTAGTCGGACCGCTTCCGACTAAAATACTACTACGCGAGTTCCTCCCGTTACTTTTATATTATAATAATAACTTTTATCGATAGCCATTACAAGGAGTATAGAAATAATACAGTAATTATTTATTGATTGATTGCTGACCAGTCAGGCAACATCCAGACCCCACAAAAGGATTTATAACCTGTGTTAGCAGATAGTACCGTTGTCGCCACGGCGGGCAAGCCTCAATCGAATTTTTATCAACAAATGGCTTACAAGTAAACTAAAGGGAACTCTGTAGTCCCAAAACCAGTACAATAAAACTGTTCATTTGGTACCCAGAAAAGAATAAAATATGAGAAAGATGTTCGAATTAGTACAACAGTTTAAAGAAGATTAAACTATGTTAGATAAATAAGTCGCAGTGTGTATCAAGAAAGTAGAGAGTAAGTGTAGAGTTTCTTGTGAGTGGTATTGATTCTACAAAGTGTGTATGCGTGTAAAATATCTGAGGGTGCGTTATAATTATTGCTTTTGGATGCATACAAGGTGTTCACGTGCACGTGACGTAAACAGACAACCTGACCGGACATGTGCTAAATGATGACAATAGACTACTCAGCAGTGCAATGACCGTTCTGAACTAGGCTGCTGAGTAGAGTAGTTAACTTTATGTATACATTTAAAAATAATATTGTTTATAGTCACACACACCTAAATACCGTTTTGTATAAATAGCTTAAGTTTTGTAAATAAAACGCTCTTTGAATTCAGACATCAACGCTGTCTTATTGACAACGGAGCACTCCTGACTACAGCATCCTCTCACTGCGGCCAAGACACCTTTAGCCGTTAGCTTATCTGATCAGTCTTGTGAGTCTGTGAGACTGGCAGTGACAAACCATTTCCTAAAGCACCCTTATCCTCCCTCCTTTCCGTCTGTTGCCTTAGGTCGCACGGTGACAGGCTTCCCCTACTATTTATATAAGTATATATTCCGTAGCGTATGGTTAGGGCTAGGCTGTTAGGTAGGCAACTAGGGTTGTTAGTGATAGCACGGCTTTCCCTGACCACTCACGTATAGCCAGCTAGCTACAGCTAGGTAGTTGACTGTACACAAGGTCTTAACATTAATCTTGTTGTTGACATGGAAAATGCCTTACGGAAATCTGAAGATGACTGAGTGATATTAAGAAAATGGTTGTACTATTATAATATATACATAATGTTTGACCGGGAACGGTGAAACTATACTTGCGTTTGAACCATCGAGTAAATAACCAGAAATAGAGACGCAATAAGGGCGATCCATCCCTGGCAATTCATCAGACAAATGGGCCTTATATCACTTTTAAATATCAAATCTCGTTTGCGCTGAAATCACAAATTAGAAAGCTGAAATAGTACAGCGTCAACAATTGACCTGTGTGTACGTCTCCGTATATATTCTGTATTTATTGTAACAAAGATAATATCTCTAACTATGAGGATATTCCACTCGGTGGTGTGGGAAAAACAGCAAAACATCTGATTACAAAACAAACGGAATCACATTTCATCGGTAATTAAATATCTAATTTTTCCATTCTCGTCCATTACAGCAAAGCTCAAGTTACAGTGTTCGATTTGAAGTGAAACAATTGACGACACGGGTCAATTGTTTCGAATTCGGGCTGGCCAATCGGAGCGCAGTTGTCACCGTAATGATTTGGAAGAATAGTTTTCAAACAAATTAAATGACATTTCGTCTCTATTTCTGGTTACATACTCGGTGGTTTGAACAAATGACCTATGAAAAAAAAAATTATGAATGTTAAATTAGCAGTTCGGAGTTATAATTATCATAATTATTTTTTTTAGCTAACTAGGGAAACCCTGTGTCGCGGATGCCATGGGCACACACATAAACAACCACTAATTACATCCAAACTGACGAGAGAAACAAATGAAGGCCGTACAAATATTTCTCTTGACTAGGGAATCGAACCCGCGACCTCTGTGTGGCAGTTCAGTATGGTAGGTACGGTTACCATTCGGTTCGGCCACAGGGGCAGTTAATTTTTATGATAATTATTACTCCGAACGGCTAAATTCGACAAAGAGATTCTTATGAAAATTCAAGATTCAAGGTATATATGATAACGATATTTTCAAGCGAATTGAAATTAATACAATAGAAAGGCGGAATGTGTAAGCAAGCAATAAACACTTTTTAATAATATCATTATATTTAAACAAAACTCGATTTACAAAAATTTAATTGTAAATAGTTTTTGCCCTCGATTTCGGGCGTTAATGGGATTTAACCCCATTAAAAGCCGGCGATAACAAAACGCCGCCACGCCGGATTAAAACCCGGGCGTTTGCTCATCTCTAGTGACAACTGTGTACGCTAGCAAAAGAACGCACCCATCACCAAAATTATTTTTATATAATCTCAGTACAGAGTACTAAAAAAACCGACCTCAAAAGTACGTGGAATGACGACTATTTGCTAAGTTTTATTGAAATATCCCCTAGTTCCGCCACTATACAGGACTTGACACTGGAGATAATAAAAATCGGTTCTCACTACTACTACAATGTATATTGAGAGAAAAACGCCTTGAATTGGAGAAATTGCAAAATCAACCATTAAAGTAATTGCTCCTAAATTAAAGTTAGGCGCTATTTATAAAAATGAATCTTCATGCGTAAACAGCCACTCTTCGAGGTGGATGATTTTCTTCAAAATGAAATGGGACCACTATGGAAGTACCCCCTTTCCTTTCCTTTCGGTGGTGTATAGTAACAATTTTCTTATTTTACCAAAACTGACACGAAAATTCCAAATTTTATTACATTAGAAATTTTATAACAGTTATTAATTATACACGTTATAAGTAATAGGACATTATTGTCATGTCATGTAGATATTATTACATGATAATGTGTCGATATTGTGGAGTATATACGGGTGAAAGCCAATGCTGTCGAGCAGGGGTCAAGCCACAATGTAAATTTTAATTCATTTGTGGTGAGAATACCAACTCAATATCTGTCGACCTTCATGAAGGATGAGGTCATTTCCGAGGCGGGCTACCGGACACCCACGTTGCGTTACACGTCGCAGAAAATACGTGTATTTAGTCATTAGTGTTTTATTATGTTGTTATATATGTTAGTCTATATGTATTTATGGGTCTTTGTAACCTGAATATCAATAAACTTTATTTGAGATTTCTATTTTGAATGAACCTACCTCTCTAGTAGCGAGTTCCCAAAGCAGAATAGCGAAGCTCCACATGTCTGCGGCCTCCCAGTTGCGTTTGGCCGCCGGCTTCTGCAAGGCCTCGGGCGCCATCCACGCCGGCGCATACAATCGTCCCTTCTCTTGAAAGGAGAACTTCGCGTCCGCCATGTTGATACGAGCTGTTAGGTCCTCGTCGATCTGTTTCAAGTATAATCGGAATTAAATCAATATTTCTTTACCATTTGCACTGCAAAGGAATGGAAAACATTTCCCAAAAAATACAATGTAGGGCTAAACAATGCCTAGCGAATAGGAATTTTTCTAATCAATGTTAGTAGTTACATGTATCTCTTTAATATAATGTTCGAAATTTCACATTCATTTTGCGTATTCACGTCATTCTAAAGATGCGATTTGTTATTGCCATTTTGTTACATCCTGTACTTAAATTGTTAATAAATATGATGTAGTAAGTGACACTTACCATAATATGTTTACTGTTTAAATGGTAAGTAGGCAATATCTTGTCTCTCTGCAGCGAGTGTAGGTAGGCCATTCCCTGAGCCACGTCGTAAGCCAGCCGAATAGCTGCGCCTGCGTCGACGACAACTCTGCCGCCAGCGCCGCCGTGCAGCAGGCTGTACATCGAGCCCCAGGACATGTACTGCGATATCACTACCAGCGAAGGCGGCGACACGCAGCAACCAACCTGCAAGACATGTCACGTGAAATAAACTCACGGCCAATCAAGTCTGGCAGATAAAAAGGTTATATGGAATTTTTAACTCTTCCTTCTTTAAAATTTTACATTTTCATAATTCAGGCTCTGTACTCTCGTTCTCCGTCCAGAACAATTACTGTCAAATAAGTATAACACTCGACCGAATTAAAAAACGCATGCTGCAAATGAAGCTTCATAGTCATTTCATAGTTGATATTGCCTTTTTGAACGATTGAACGAGTCTCTCAGACCCCCTGGTCTGAGTGTTCTAGGAAGTCCCCAGGAGTTAATTTAAAGTTTAATTTGACGAACTCGTTGGCGTAACGGTTTACACTGTGGGCGTTAGATGCGGAGGTCACGGGTTCGATTCCCGGTAGGACCAATTTGAGAATGTATTTTTTATATTTATTTCAGATAAAAATCCATATAGTGTTATAAACAAAATAACTTCAGATCTAGTGTTAGTATTAATTAATTTTATATAATTTAAATAATTTAAATTTTATATAATTTAAATAATTTAAATTTTATATAATTTAAAAGGACAATACAACTAAATGATTACGTGGAGCTCAAAGCACCGCCGCTTTAAACACCATGAATTCACTTTTCTTCACATGATTGAAATGAACTATCTACATTGGTTTACGTTTGGTGTGTGTCCTTTCAATTCAAATTCCCACCAAAGAATCTTATTAATTCCACTGTTCTGATACTTACAGAGTACTATGAGTACGAAATCTCTGTATGGAATTTCCTAGTTCGAAACCAGGCAATTGGTGTGATCGTCTTACATATTATTATTATTATTAATAACAAGTTATGGAAATCAGGGCAATTGGTACTACTCTGTAAATGAGCTTTGCCTGAGCATATGGAAACTTCTCTTCATTGATTAATAGCACATCTGTACATTGACAAATGTGACAATTGTACTAACCACAGGCAGAATGTTCGGGTGCGAAAAGATCCTGAGTTTGGGGAACTCCTCATTAAAATCGCGCTGTATGCGCGGCGTACACTCGCGTACGGCTAGGATTTTGGCCACGATGTCGTTCTTTTGCCAACGGCCGCGCCATGTTTCACCTGCAAATAATCATAATAAAACAACGATATGAATTTTCTCGATGTATCTCTTACACGGAGAAAAACACAATTTAAAAAATGTGGTAGACAAATGAATATAGGCTGTCTTTTTTGAAAACGGAGTAAAATGACATTTGCAGGGTTGCCAGTTTTCATAAAATTTTAAATAGTTATGTACGGACAACGGCAAACCAGACTACACATTTTTATTCGAAAATCGCCTCCAGTGCAACGAAACAAGATACGTCAATGTGTAGTTTGATGTGCTGGCGTTAGATTGTGAAAATAAGCAAATTTTGCCAAAAATGTCTGAATTGTGAATGTTACGACGTTCTAATGTTTACTAATTGCGTTATTGTCTTTTTTATTTTTCTTTCATTTAATAACAACAGGTGGTATGATCATGTATGTACATTAAATGAAAAACTTTAAAATATGTCTCCTTTTTGCATTTTCAATAAACATAGTTCTAAATGTAGTGTATGTATGTATAAATTTTCCAAAATTGACAATTCAAATGAACCTGTGTCCTGCAGTTGGGCGAATAATGGGCAGATGATGATTCAAATGAAACAAGTTAGGCATTTTGCATAAGCGTAACCAATATTTAATCGATAGTCGACAGAATATTTATCGACTGCAATCATTAGCTGCTCGCAAGTGGGCAACACTTTTGCGCAGTACTGTCATTTTAGTCTATCTTCAAAAAAGACAGACTATAAAAAAATTCTCATCTTTTTGACTCTATTATATTAGTATTTTATTTCTATAGGCAAACAATATGGAGACCTTCAACCGGACATACCTCGTCGTCCTTGGTTCTTTAAGCGTAGAAACCTAAGTAAACTGGTAACGTCTATAATAATTTGACTGCGCCTAGGACACATAACTTCATCCGTTTTTGTGGCCAAAATTAGGTAAGAGACAATTCCATTTGTGAATGCGGACTGGAGGAGGGCACTTTAGATCATACATATTTCCACTATACAAACATAAGAGCCTTCCTGTACGACCTGCTCCCTGAAAATATGCCCCGTCCCATTTAATCTACCATTTCCTTTGACCCAAGTTCGTAGTCCTTTTGTAAATATCCTGTCCAAATTTATCCAAATCAGAAATATTAAATTATAATTACCTTGTCTATTAAAAACTATTTTCTGTCAAAAATGTAGTTACAGTACAATATTATATATTTATAAACCCATCCCCCTTCTATTTTATTTTTTATATATGCATGTAATGTGAATGTCTAATTTTTGTTTTTGTGTTGTCCCTTTTTAGATTCTCATCGTACTCAATTGATCTCCGGCTATCCAACTGTACACAGTCACACCAACGTAAAAGTCTTTTTCAACCCTGACATTGGCAGAATCTTCGTATAAATCGATGGAGCCATTATAAAGAAATTGGAATTAGTATTTTATTTAAAATTTATTTCTGCTGTTTTCATAATATTTTTAAGCATAGAGTGGATGCTTAAGTGTAAAAGTACCTTAATTAGGTATAGCAGTCTGGTTTTCTTCTTCCGCTACATTTCAGGGCCGATTCTAAACAGCATTACGAAGAATGAAGCTATTTTTCCGGATTTAATTCGCGTATATTTGTTTTTTCAAACAAACCGACGTTTCGGGCGCTTTACAGTCCCATGGTCACGGTTGAGTGAGGTGCTATAGTCTTCAACCAGTTATGTCTAATATTAATGCAAACCAGCCTATATGTAAATTCCTATGTGTAACAATCGCGAAAACCTAAGAACTCGATATTACGAAAAATGTTTACTATCTCTTGTGTATACTGGTAGAGTAGGCAGATTATAACCAATCGGAAAAAGCTGTTCCACTTACATAGATACATGTATAAATATAACTACTAGGCGCGACATGGAGTTGTTAAATATTATAATATGGAACACCTTTTTCCGGCCATTGATTATAACATTAGCAGATTTTTTTACAATTTGAGGGGGTCCTAACGAATCGTAAAAGTTGTTAGTAAATATTCATTTCATTCAACCAAACATTCTCATTTTCATCATAATAGAATTATTTGCCAAAACTTACCAGACGGAGTAACAGAAATCCTTGTATGAAGTGACAGTTCATTGATATTGATGCCCTTGTGGCGCGAGAGGGTAGCGTCGCGACTGCGTGTCTTTAGGCCCAACCACGATTGATCCTTGAACTGGATCTTTTTGAGGTCCTGGCCTTGGTTTACTGCAATCTCGTGTAGTCTGTGGAACAATTGGTTTTTTGTAGAATGGGATATTTGTGTTTATTTATTAGCAAACATCAATAAAATTACATTGTATGCGACCCGTTGGGGCGTAGCTGAGATTTAAAAATATACTTAGACAAGTAAACTAATAAACAAAAACAAATTAAATACCAAAAGGTTAAATTTTTAAATAATAATAGAATATCTTAAAAAAGTAATGCAGTATCAATAAAATAATGAATCTATATATGTAATATTTGAATAAATAGATTTCTCACAGATGGCGCTACAGAAAAAAAGTCTAAAAACAAAAATCTAAGATCTGCAACAAGCACATAGAAAAATTCGTAAGCCCCGCTAGTTCGTTCTGTGGCTTTGTTGGCATAGCGTCTGGCACAGTAGGCTGGAAGACGTTGGTTGAAATCCAGCCGGGTCGAAGGAATTTTTTCTAAGTGTTCGATCTGTATGTTAATAATTATATACTAATTATAATTTGCAGAACGAATATAGAGAGATTAGATTTTTTGATAAAACCTATTGCGTAATAACAGTTTTGTATGAGGTATTTTAATTTATATAAATTAAATATTATAAAACACTTTTTCGTCTTTCTGAAGTAATATATATTGCTTGGTACAATGTTAAATATTGCTATTGCTCTGTGATAAGGGCTATTTTTGAAAATTGTAGCTTAGGGGATGGAGTTACTAGCTTATGCAAACTAGGTTCACTTGTTCACTTGACACATAATTCGAGGCACCTTGCATTTTTATCCTTAAAGGCCTAGAATATAAAAATATAGCTTTGAAGAAAAAGATTTCTCCGGTTTTTTAAATTCAAATTCTCAATAAGGACTTAAGGAAATGACGTTTAGTATACCAGTTTCAAAGTTACATAATAGTTCTTGATCAATCAAGCATTGTTTAACCTACGGGCATTTTATTGAAAATGTAAGGTGGTTCGAACTATGTGTCCGGGAGTATATATACAAAAATAGAAAGGTAAGCATGTATTGCTTTATGAAAAAAGGCTAAAGGTGGATGGATACACAATGCACAAATTCACTATAAGCATGGTGTATCAATACGTACAAATTAACTTTAGTACTTTTTTAAAAGTATAGATGGCGACACTTGTATAAAATAAAGGAGAGAGAAAAAAAAGTATTGAATCTCAAAAATTTGAGAAAGAAAGATGTATGTCATACTAAATAAGAAGCATAAAATATAAAAAAGAAATTCAAAACTATTTAAACAACATTTTAGGAATGTTCAATTAAAATACATTTACAGCTATGACAATTGGTGAAAACAGTAAACTCGATACCTCCAATGAACACCACGCTAACTTAAATTTTTAGTCGGTTTCAGTTATTTTTGCCACAGCCATATTTATTTACTAATATTACGCTCCCTGAATTTTGTAAAAACAAAAATAAAGAAACAAAACAAAATTAAAAAAAAAAAAACGAATTTTGTGAAAATAAAAATAAAGAAACAAAAAACAAAATAAAAACAGAACAGGTCCAAAAATTAAGTTGACGTAGTGTTCATTGGAGGTACCGAACTGTAGTTGAAAGGATGACACAGCGAAGGTTTCTCAATGATACAGTTTTCGATTTATTAGTTTGCAAGAATATTATTACAATCGGATCGCGGGTTTACTCGGTTACTTTACTCGTTAAAAATCAAAATAAGCTGAGTTACGTGTGTGACATTCCTTTGTATGAGATTGGTTGTATAGACTAGTATAATATTACATCATCTGTGCCATAAGTATAATTGTATATACGCACAAACACACAAGAAATCATTCGAAACATTCAATGCGAGATGCGACCGCCAATACGTTGAGACTTGTTTGATCGACTCATCGACTTCGGGAGCAAACTACAGTTGCCAAGTGACTGTATTTACAGGGAAGGTTGCCGGCTTCGGCGGGCAAGTCCTGGTGACCTGTGGAACTAATGTAAATACGTCATAATATTTACCTTTGAATAATCTGTCCCCTGGTCTTATCCAATGGTGTGTCTCCATCTTTGTTGGCAAGCGACACGAGCGCCCCAGCCATCACCAAGTCTTCAGCGATGGCAGTGTAGCCCCAGAAGCAGGCATAGTGTAGCGGAGAGTTGCCATGCTCGTTCACGAAGTTTACATCCACTCGGTTTTGGAGAAGCTGGAAAATTTGTTAATGGTATAAAGTCAACCAATGAAATTAAATATATTTATATACCACATAAATAACTTACATTGCCGTGTCTTCTAAATTTACATACTGTGTGTCATTATAGACATATACAACTGTAGTTTGTATTATCCATTTACTCAATGGGTAATACATTATTACTCATTGAGTAAATGGAAAAATAATAATAATAAAATTTTATTTATTGAGACAACTGAGATACAATCAAATGTTAGTAGGTGCAGACATAAAACTATATTAGTACTTATATTTTACCAGGGATTGTGTATTATGTATTAAGTGCCGCATAATTGGGCACTCATTCTTGTCAGCAACTGTCTTCAGGAGGCTATTGGGGCTGTCACGTATTCTCTTCAGTAGTGACGCCGACTTTTTACGTACAACAGCCGTAAAACTATCTACGCGCGCGTCAGTGAATATGGCTGAGGCACTGCAGAAACGTGACAGCACCAACAGCCTCCTGAAGGCGTTGTTGTATTGCACGGACAGAGCATTCCGAGAGCACTGAGTGTAATTCTTCCACAGAGCGCTAGTGTACATTGGTGTGCAGTAAGCTTGAAACAATGTGTTCTTAACTGCTGCCGTACATCTGACGAACCTGCGGGCAAGCATGTTTGCTCTCACCGAGAGTGCTCTCCGTTCGCGCTGTATATCCGGTCATCCTTGAGGTCGTCGGTAACATAGAGTCCCAAGTATTTAAAGTGGCTAACCCTTTTTAACGGAGAACCATTAAGCAGTATAGGAAGTGCACACGTAGGACTCTTCCTACCGGTGGCTCCAAAGATCATAAACTCCGACTTTTTAACATTATATAAGAAGCCATGGGATGTTGCATATGACTCACATACTCCAATTAGTTTTCTCAATTTTTCTCGAAAAAGTAGAAGATGTTCTAATTACCAGTTGTACGACCGGCCGGTGCCCGTGCGCGGCAGCGAGATGCAACGGCGTGTCATCGCCCATGTTGGTGACATTGACCCGCGCGCCGCGTCTAATAAGCATCTCGACGATCTTCAAGTGACCTTCCTTGCAGGCCCAGTGGAGGGGACTGAAGCCATGATCATCTCTGGAAAGGATTATTTTTACTTAAACAGTTTTAATTACTGTGAAAATTTTATGTGGTAACGGTATGTATACTGAAGTGACTCGGAATTAGTGGAGGCGAAGCTGCAGAGCCTTGAACACCGCCGTAAAGTTACATGCTTATCGATATTTTACAAGATAGATCACGGACAGTGTGCGATGGATTTTAAGGAACTTAAACTATAACAGCAGCGCATCCTGAAGACGCATAGGTCTCCCCCAGCTCTATCCATCTGGCTCTGTCTCTTGTTAGCCTAGTCCATAGAGGTCCAGCTATTTTTTTAAACTCGTCGGACCATCTTTTAAAGGGACGACCTCTTTTCCTCATGGCGTTTTCTCTTGGTAACCATTCTGTTACTTTTATGGTCCACTTTTTTATTTTTTCCCTGTACATGTGGCCAGTCCACTTCCACTTTAGCATTTTGATTTTTGTGGTGACATTCTCCAATTTGGTTGTCCTTCGTATGTCTGTACCTCTTTTTTTGTCTCTTATAGAGAATCCCAGCATACTTCTCTCCATTCCTCTTTGACAGGTTGTGAGTTTCTCATAGTGTTTACTAGTCAATGCCCACGTTTGGCATCCAGAGGTCCAAATTGGGAGGATGCAGATGTTAAAGACCTTTCTCTTTGCTGCCATTGGATAGCGCTTGTTTTTAAATATGTCTTTGAGTGACCAATATCGGTTCCAAGAGTTGGTAACCCTTTTTTCTATTTCTTGCTCAGTTTGATCACTAAATCACACTAATTGGCCCAGATAAATGTAGGATCCTACATATTCAATGTATTCTACATCTACAGTTAGAGGTTTTTCAGATCTGTTAGTCATTACTTTGGTTTTTGCTTTATTAATGGTTAAGCCTACTTCTTTGCTTTAGTTGCAATGCCTTGGATCATGTATTGTAGGGAAACAGGATCGTGGGAAAATATTACTAAATCGTCAGCAAACCTTAGATTCTTCAGTCTTTCACCGTTTATGTTTATGCCTCTATCATTCAATTCGAGGTTTCTGAAGGTATTCTCAATTACCGCTGAGAAGAGTTTTGGCGAGAGTGGGTCACCTTGTCGGACTCCTTTCTGTATCTGAAATGGTTTCCCCAGAGATTTTAATTTCACCTGTGCTGTGCTGTTAGAGTATATATTTTTTTGTGATCCTTATGTATTTCTTTTCAATACCCTGCCTCTGTAAAGCTATCCAGATGTGAATGTGATTTATATAATTGAAAGCTTTATTGTAGTCTATGAACCCTATGTATAGTGGGTGCCCATATTCTTGTGATTTCGCAATAACTTGTTTGATGGCGTGCATGTGGTCCAAGGTGGAGAAACCCGACCTGAAACCTGCTTATTCTTTGGGTTGCTCTTCATCTAGCCTTTTCGCGATTCGGTTTAGTATGATCTTAGAAAATACTTTGTATACATTCGACATCAGACTTATGGGGCGGTAGTTATTCATGTCTCCTTTCTTGTGTATAAGTATGATAGTGCTGTTTGTCCACTGTGAGGGGATAAATTCTGATTCGAGTATAGAGTTGTATAACTTAGTTAGACTCTTGACCGTACCTGGGAGGTTGCTCTTCATTTGTTCATTTGTTATACTGTCTGGACCTGGGCTTTGTCATTTTTCTGGGACAAGATAGCAACAGTGACTTCACTCTCTAGAATCGGTGGTATACTTTCTTTGTTTAGATCTTCTAGTTCAATCTCCAAGTCGTTCGCCGCATCTTTGGCATATAGGGTTTGGAAGAAATCTGTTGGTACGTCTAGTATTCTATTCCTTTTTGTCTCTTGGAGGTTAGCTTTGTTTTTCATTTTTGGGATCCACTCTTTGGACTCAACTATAATAAAACGGCCCGCCAAGCCATATCTATATAATAAATATACTGATTGGACAGTATTTAAGGAATACTTTGATGATAACATGAACCTCTTGGCACCACTGAAATCTGACGAAGACATTGAGACTGCGATTTAACTAATTGAGACAATGTATTTAACTAAATTGATACAAACTTCTACATGGCACAGCACTCTAATAACCAAAATTGCATTGAATACTCAAAGCCTGAAAAACATACCCCTGGATGTGAAACGAAAAGTATTAGAGAAACGACGATTAAGAAGAGTGTGACACTATAGTCGACACCCGCAGATAAAGCAGCCCTGAACAAAGCTGCCGCAGAGCTGAAACGATTCCTAGCCGAGATAGAAAATGAAACACTAGAAGTCCACTCACAGAATCTGAGTCCAACTTTACCATCTAAAAACGAACATTCCTTATGGCAGACAGTGAAGTCTCGTGACAAACCAAACTTAGCACTACACCCACTAAAACAAGAGAATGGGACATGGGCCAAAACTGATGAAGAAAGAGCTCAAGCATATGGCGAATTTTTAAAAAACGTTTTCTCCCCAAACAAGCGTACTGGAGACGAAAGCATAGAGCGAGAAATTATATCATTTCTCAAAAGTGACTTACAACTTAGTCCCCCGCTCAAATGCTGCACACCTTCAGAAGTTAGGCGTACCATTGCTGCTCTAGAAAATAAAAAAGTTCCAGGCTTCAACCACATTTCGGCTGAGGTACTGCGGAACTTACCGAAAAAAAAAATAGGTTTTATGACATTGCTATTTAATGCCATTCTCAGAACATCATACTACCCATATACCTGGAAAATGTCACAAATAACTATGGTTCCAAAACCCGGAAAACCTCTGCATTTAACGTCATCCTCTAGACCAATAAGCTTGCCCCCCGTACTGTCAAAGGTATTTGAAAAAATATACACACGCCTCAACAACTATCTTCATGAAGAAGGCTTGGTCCCAAAACACCAATTCGGATTCCAAAAAAAAAAACATTCGAGTGTTGAACAGGTTCACAGAATATGTGAATATATAAAAAAATCACTGGAACAAAAAGGATACTGCTCAGATGTATTCCTACACGTACAACAAGCATTTGATAAGGTCTGGCACAGTGGGTTGTTTTGCAAGCTAAAAAAACTTTTACCTCACAATATGTACCTACTAATAAAATCATATTTAAAAGATCGGATGTTCTACGTTAAGATTAATGATGCAACCTCTAAGTCCTATGATATAAAAGCAGGCATTCCCCAGGGTTCGGTGTTAGGGCCATTGCTCTACATGCTGTATACGGCTGATGTACCAGAATCTGTTAATGTCTTGACTGCTACATTCGTAGATGACACAGCCATTCTAACATCAGATAGAGACCCGGAGACTGCTTCAGAGTATTGCAATCGCACATTGATAAGATATATTCTTGGATGAATAACTGGAGAATCAAAACTAGTGCAGCAAAGTGCAATCACATCACGTTTACATTGAGAAGAGAAAATTGCCCAACTGTGAAACTAGGTGAAGATGTGCTACCCCACAATACTGCTGTTAAATACTTGGGATTCTACCTTGACCGCAGACAAACCTGGAAAACACACATATAAAAGAAGTGTGATGAGGTCAACAACAAATTCAGATCATTGGAATGGCGTCTGGGCAAAAAATTCCGATTATCTCTTCGAGAACAAGTTAACCATCCTACAAAACAATCCTCAAACCGGTTTGGAGTTATGGATTACAACTGTGGGGATCGGCAAGTATATCAAACTTGGAGATATTACAGAGGTTCCAAAATGGTGTGCTCAAAACTTTGGTAAATGCTCCGTGGTTCACGAAAATGGATGATATTCATGATTATCTGCAAATCCCTACTGTCAAACAGGAGATATTGGCTTTATTAGGCATGACAATAGCCTAATAAAGCCAAATAAAAATAGAGAACAGGATAAGGCTAAGTAACAGACGATTGAAGAGGCACCACATGTGGGACTAAAGGAAGGAAAAATTGGAAAGATGAAGGCAGCCTAGCACAGGGCGGGCGAGCCTAACACGCCAAATAGATCATAACAAAACAACTGCTCATGGTCCATGGATCGACCGCACGTTGCAAAACGCATTAAAAAAAGTATTAAAGTTGAATTGGTTTACAACAGATACATCTGTAAAATATTTTCTGCTATTAGTGGCTATATAGTCGATCTCATTTCTATGTGAGCTCTGGTGGCTTGGGCTCCACCCCTATGTTGTGGATATTCCAAAGATTCGCACGAAGCGTTACGCTTCCACATTTATACGGCGAATGGCTAGGGAGTAGAATTCCTTGCCTGCAGACTTGTTCCCTGAACATTATAACTTGGGCCTTTTCAAGGCGAGAGTAAATAGGCATTATTTAGGTGTGCTTGTTGTGCACCAGGTGAGATGGAGGTCAAATGCGTACTTACATTTTATTAAAAAAAAATATCGTAGTTAAACAGATTATACTAGAAATTGTCATTTTTATAGCTATTTGAGAAAAAAACTCAAAAAGTTGCTCTTTTACAAGGTCTTAATAGAGTATGGAAATAGAAGCATATAGCATAACATTAATAGCAACAATATTTTAGCAGATTATAGTTTGTTTAAAATTATATTATACCAGGATAAGTGACCAAAGGAAACAATTATTTCCTTTTGACGATTTATTTATTAACTTTTAGTGAGTAGATAAATAACATTCAATTTTCATATTTGAGATACATAGAAAGGTGTTTTCAAGTTTATTCACAGTAAATTGGGAGAAAAAGTTTAGGATCTCCTAAGGGCGCATTTATTCGACCGCAGCAACCGCGTGCGTCTAACTGTCATGGCAAAATACGCTCTATTTATTTAGATTTTACGTTTTAACTTAAATGAGCGTCACGCGGGCGAGTTTGGCTTAAATTTGGTCTACGCGACGGTTGCATTATCCAGAGGAATTTAAATGTGTTGCCTAGTAAGTACTAAACAGAATTCAGATTCGCCATTAATAACGAAGTCGTGTAACTGGGCGGTCACCGCGCGAAATCTTTCTCCTCGTGTAATTGGGCGCTAATAGTTTTGAGTACAAGACTTCAAATTAGGAACATTTACAAATATGTTGAATTTTCATATAAATTGCTGTAGTGTTACTTGTATGTTTTTATGAACTGTTTTAGAGGATATGACCCCACTGATCATCCTGTCATATCTTACCGTCTTCATTGGCAACCTGTCTATTGAGACTTCAAACAACTTATACAAACCTTTACTTAGGGCACAGGTTTTTCTTATAACATCAGCCCTACATTATTACATTAAGCTCTAAATTGTTACACAACCCTATGTTGCTACAATAATACACACATGTTGCAGTGCCTAATTATAGTCTAATCATAATCGCAGTAATCAATAGACAATGGTGATGTTTTGTTTATGTTTTTTTTCTAAATAAATTTGTTGTTTGCTTACAATCATAATAAATGGACTTTTCAACAATTACATGAGATGAAATCACTGTCTTTTTCGATTTGGTTTGTCTATGTTAGCAATTGTCATTTGGCAAAAATCATATTGAAATATAATATTTAGTGTTAAACAATATGATTTATATAAACACTTAAGCATAATATGATATAATAAGTATACAAATGTATATACTGCACATATGATGAGTCCTGTTACATTTAGTATATGCATATTGTTTTTAACAAATTTCTCAACCACATTACAAAAAGAAATAGTGAATTTGTCACAATGTATCGAAAACAAACAATATTTTGTTGCAGTTGTAATTTTAAGTAAAAATAACAGTATTTTAAGTAGATACAAAATAAAGTTATAAAGATAAAAATAAATTAACCCAACTACTTGATGCGTACAATGGAATATTTATCCATAGAGATTTACACCATACAATTGATAAATTGAAATGGCTATCGAGTATCTCATGTCAATGCGAGTGCCTAAATGTTGTATGAGGGTTGATTTCCTTTGTTTTAGCTTTGCTTGGAGTTTTTGGAGTGATTTTTCAAATTTTGTTTTGTTTGATTGTTATTGATTTTTTATTTGTTGTATACTTTTTTGGTAACTTAATAACATAATTATAATTAAATCCTTTTCATTTTTATTATTTATTCTTAAATTATTTTCTGTAAATCGTTCCTCTCTTCATTACAAATTATCTCGATAAGATATTTAAATTGATTTTTTTTATTCGATATTACATCACTACATCTCTTCAAAAACTTCAAATCTCAAATGTCACTGGAATCATGCTATGTGAAATGAAAGATTTAAAAAAGTTAGTTTATTATTATTACATTTACTACAGTAAATCAGTATATGCCTTAATTGATTTTATTTTGTTACTAATGAATAAATAAACCCATTCTGAATAAGTTATGATAAAAATATAAGGAAAAACAATTTTTAAGGATAAACAACAAGATACGAACTTCAAATAGAACAGAAACAGAAATGTGATTCAGTAATCATTCAAAAAAAAATAGAGCACATTCCAAAAGGCAATGATAACAAAGTGAAGTAACCACATTATCTTTACACAGGTCACATAATTTTGATAAAAATTATGTCATGTCTGTTATGAATTATTGTTACTCATGTAGTAATTTGGGTCGATATTAGGCCATTGTCCTCCAAAAACCAACTTTTTTTACACGAAGTTTGACCGAGTTTTAATGCCAAACAAAATATAGAACGCTAGTTACCAGATTCGATTACTGTTACAGAAAGACGCTTTGGTGCGTGTTAGATGTGTAAACAAGTAATGTACGCATTTTAAAACTATTTTCAAGCATATTAGACACATTTACTAGGCCATGCTACAACCCGTGGGCGTAGACTCTCAATGTCTTTTAAGAAACATCTGGAGATGCACATGGCGTTCTTAAACTCAGGGAATCTAGGAAGCAGTGTACAACAGTGCGTAGTTACCCTTGATTCATGTCATGCTCCGTATCATCCAGCCAGACCCTCACTTGCAAGGCGTTTCCTTCTCTACACCACTGAAATATATCTTCCATGTTCTCTCACTATTCTTGGACTATAAACACAGCAATATAACTTAATCAACGAGCTCCGTGATCAGCTAAGTACAGTTAATAAATTATAAGACATAAAAAA